CAATCCGCACTCCAATCCTTTGAAGCAGTCCCACTTATTCCCCCATCATCCAGAGGAAGAAACGGGGGCTCAGGGAGATGAAGTCACTTGCTCCAAACCACTAACAGGCAGCGGGGCTGATCACCATTCAAGTTACCCCACCTGCGTTAATCACTCTGCCCCCTCAGCCTAGCCGCTCAACATCAGCACATTGAGACCAGGTGGGTGGGGGCTGGGGGCCTGCTTCGCTCCTCTCAGCCCATGGGCATTAGCCCAAAGCAAACCTTGGTGCCCAGAGGTGTGAAGCTGGCTCCGGCTGGTGGCCACCATGGGATCTCAGTGGAAATGACTTTGCTCCTTGCATACGAGGAGCTTAGAGGGCTGTGAAGCTCCAAAGGTGCAGGCAGGCCCAGGAGGCCAATGTCCAGTAGATCCCCATGCTCCTCCCTGAAACCTCCAAGGCAGGCTTCTCAGGCCACTCAGAGGGTCTTCTCCAGGCCCAGAGCAGAGACTTCTTAAATAGCGCTGGGGCGCCCCTCCACAGACACAAACTCAACCCAGAACTTCGAGGGTGGACAGATGCCCAAGGCTTCAAAATGACCATTCCTCAGTGGCCTTTACCCTCCTGCTTTCACTTGTCAAGAAGTGAGTCTCTGCCACCCTACAAAGCCGGAGTGAAAGCCCCCGTCTAGCCAGTTGGAATCTTCCAGACAGGGCCACTTTGTCTTTCCAGGCAATGAAAGCCATGTCACCCCCTGGGGGTTCCTCCGGAAGCTCCCCTGCCCCCACTTGGCCTGGTTCCAGTCGTCACCCAACCCTGGGACAGAGAGGCCCCCGTTTCATGTTTGAGAGAGGCTGAGGCCTGCAGGGGGGCCACCCAGCTGGTCAGTGATAGGGTCACAACCCACATCGCCTGCTCCAGAGCCACGGAGACAAGCGGGCCGATGTCCGGCACTCTCAGCTCTGGGGCCTCACTAGTGCGCCCCGGTCGGCCCTCTCCGAGAAGAGGACTCAGCCTCCCCAAGCCGCTCCTCAGAGGGAGAGAGCAGGCAGGGAGGTTAAGTGCCCTGTGCGGCCCTGGTGTGAGCTCCAGGGGGCGGGGGTGACTTGGTTCCTCCCAACCTTCGCTTCCCGGGCTGAGAGGGGGCCGGACCTCTTGGGCGACATCGAAGTGTGTCTGGGACGTCCAGCCGGTGGTCCCCGTCGGTCCGGCCGTCCCTAGGAGCCAGTTCCGCCTAGCGCCGCTCGCTGGCTTTGTCCACAGCGCACTCCTGCCCCAACTAAGAGCCCGCCGGGAACAAGAGGCTGGGGGAGTTTCCGCCGCAGCCTGACGGCGGGCGGGACCCCGAAGGAAGACGGTGAGGGCCCAGCACTCCGACAGCCGCTCTAGGAGCCCCAACCTCCCGCCCGCCCCTGGCCGTCGAGGCGCCCCAAAGGCCCCCGGGATGACCGGCAGAAGCCTCTCGCGAAAAGCTGCCGGGCCCTTGGGCTCCGGAGCCCTGGGGCTCCGTCCGTCCGTCCACGCAAAGACACCCCGGCGCACGTCCCGCCCCGGCTCACCCACCGTGCACCAGTCTCCGCATGTCCTGGTAACGAGCCCATAGGTGCGCGCTGAGGTCGGCGCCGCCGGCGGGTGCCGGAGAGCTCGGGCAGGGGGCGCTGGGACCTGGGGGGCCGCAGCCAGGGCAGGAGGGCGAGGACGAGGCAGCTCGCGGCCCGCCGTGGCCTCCGCACAGTAGCCAGCGTCGAGCGGCCGCCCGCAGCCCCGGACCCGCCATGCCCACTGCGCGCCGCCAGCAGCCCGCGCTGCCCTCAGCCCTCCGGCCGCCCGCCGCCCTCCGACTGCGCGCCCGCCACGGTGGCCTCGTGCTCCTCACCGCGGCCGGCCAATGGGTGCGGTGCGCGGAGCCCGGCCTGCCAATGGGCGCGCCCCTCGGGCCGGGGGGCGGGAGGCCCCGGACCCGGCGGGGCGGGGCGGGACGGGCTCCCCAGCCCCCTCCCCCAGTCTCCCGCGCGGCCCTGGAGGACTTTGCGCCCCCCCTTCGGCCGTCACGCCGGCGATGGCGGCGCCTTTCCCCGACCCCAGCCCTGGAAGTCAGAGGGCTTAAGAGTGGCCGTCCCTGAGAGGCTCCGGATGGCCAAGGCGCCGAGAGGAGACAGCCGGAGAGCGGCGGGTCTCCCCCGACCCCCTGGTCCTCTGCCTTCCTCTCCGCTCTCGGGTCCGCCCGCTTCCCTGCGCCTCTGGATGCTTCTGACCCCTGATCATCCGCCCCTCCCCCTAGTTCTTGTGCCCTCCTTTCCTGGGGTCCTGGTCTCCCGAATCCGGGCTTGGACTGACTGCTCACTGACCAGAGCCCGGGCCAGATCACTCACTAATCTAACAAAGAGCCCTTCCCGCGTTCCCCGGTGCCAGGCCCACGCCGGGGGAGACCGAGGGGCCCGCAGGGCAGCCGATGTCCACTAAGGCAGACTCTTCTCCCGCCAGGGTGACCCCTTCTAATTCAACCAGGTGACTTGGCAGTGCGCTGCAGGGCTGTGGGTAGCGGTCACTGTGCCCACTTGGTTCTGACCGCGGTAACTGGCTGCACCGACCTGCCAACTCCCCGTTTCCCAGTGCAGGACCCTCGTGAGATTCTGCGGTATTTTCTAGCTATGTTGCCAGGCTTTCCAATGAAATTCTTCTTTCCTGCTCAGAGCCCCTCTTCACTCGCATTTCTTTTGCTCGGATCCGTATTCTGAGCCCGCACGCATACCAGGTTGTGCTTCGGGTCCGGAGGAGGCGACGCAGCACCCGCGGCCCAGGTCGCAGAGGAGCCAGCCAGCTGGCACCCGTTGTCTCCTCAGGTGGCCTCGCTGGCTTTCAGGGTGTGGGTATATTCGAAACTCCACTGAAACTTGATTGAAGACCTACAGTGTGGCAGCCCATGGCCCGGGAACTGGTAAAGAATGAGGCCATAGGAGGCGCTAGAGGGTGGTGCCCCCAGGGCCCCAGTGAGCTAGTGGGTGTGCTGGGAATCTGGCCACACGTGAACCTCCTCCAGGAGAGGGGTTGCCTGCAGTCCAGCCGTCAAAACCACCTGCAGAAATGGGAGCGAGCATCAAACCTGTGTGTGTGTGCCTGCTTGGATGGAGTCGACCTGGAGGAGAAAGAGGCTTCCTGGCTGGCTCTCTAAAGCCGGTTGTATGGGCGGCAGCTCAGGCTGCTCACACTGCAGGCCCTATGACACTTTCTGGGGCCCTGCTTGCTCTCTCCTCCAGTCTGCTTTTGTATATTTTGTGTCCATATCGCCAAATCGTCTCATTGGTTCTAAGTTTTCATTTACCTTCCTTATATTGTCTAATGGTTGTCTCCCTTCTCAAAGCTGTTCCTGCAGTTGTTATCTTATCTCTAGGTAATGGGATGACTGCCCCTTTCAGTTATCTTCAGCAAGCACAGCAGCATGAGAGGACGAAATGACAAGCGAAGTTTCTTAAGCCAGAGCCCTGCTTCTACCTGGCATAGTCTCTCAAATTTTCAATTAAGAGAATACATGTAAAGAATACACGTTCAGGCCGGGCGCGGTGGCTCAAGCCTGTAATCCTAGCACTTTGGGAGGCCGAGGCGGGTGGATCACGAGGTCAAGAGATCGAGACCATCCTGGTCAACATGGTGAAACCCCGTCTCTACTAAAAATACAAAAAATTAGCTGGGCATGGTGGCGCGTGCCTATAATCCCAGCTACTCAGGAGGCTGAGGCAGAAGAATTGCCTGAACCCAGGAGGCGGAGGTTGCGGTGAGCCGAGATTGTGCCATTGCACTCCAGCCTGGGTAACAAGAGCGAAACTTCGTCTCAAAAAAAAAAAAAAAAAAGAATACACGTTCAGACTGAACATGGTGGCTCACGCCTGCAATCACAGCACTTTGGGAGGCCAAGGCAGGAGGACCTCTTGAGCTCAGGAGTTTGAGACCAGCCTGGGCAATCCCTCATCTCTACAAAAAATTTAAAAATTAGCTGGATGTGGTGGTGTGTGCCTGTAGTCCCAGCTACTAGGGAGGCTGAGGTGGGAGGATGGCTTGAGCCTGGGAGGAGGAGGTTGTAGTGAACCGAGATCGCGCCACTGCACTCCAGCCTGGATAACAGAGTGAGATCCTGTATCAAACAAACAAACAAACAAACAAACAAACGAAAACCATGTTTGGGAATACATGTGGAGAACAGGGGCGCTGCCAATCATTATCATCATCATAATGAATATTATAACTAATGTTAATCAGTTACTATGCTCCATGACTGTGTTCAGTGCATCATTTATATTACCGTACTAAATCCTCACAGCGTCAGAGCAAGGAAGGCCTCCATTTTACGGCTTAGAGAATTGAGGCACACATGGGTTAAGGGAGCACCTATAGAGCAGGGATGTGATTTGACAACAGAGCTTGGGCTCCTTAATTATCGTGCTCTTCGGCGATTATTGTGACTAAAGCACCTACAGGTGCCTGTGGAACGGTAAGTGCCCCATACAAGGTAGCTTTTGTTAATTTTGGGAATCTCAAGCGGCGCTTACTTAGATTTTTGCTGTGATAATTGACAAAGTTCAGCGTTCAACACTCTATATCAAATTCTGTTACTTTAGAAGTCTAGGCACCGGCCGGGCGCGGTGGCTCACGCCTATAATCCCAGCACTTTGGGAGGCCTAGGCGGGTGGATCACGAGGTCAAGAGATCGAGACCATCTTGGTCAGCAAGGTGAAACCCCGTCTCTACTAAAAATACAAAAATTAGCCGGGCATGGTGGTGCACGCCTGTAGTCCCAGCTACTCAGGAGGCTGAGGCAGGAGAATTGCTTGAACCCAGGAGGCGGAGATTGCGGTGAGCCGAGATTGTGCCATTGCACTCCAGCCTGGGTAACAACAGTGAAACTCCGTCTCAAAAAAAAAAAAAAAAAAAAAAAAAGAAGTCTAGGCACCAATCACGCCTCCGAAATAAACGCAAGTCAGTGAATAACTGCATTTTGGAATATGGTGCTGTACATACTTAGTCCATGAGAGAGGGTCATCACTTCTATCAGGATGTTAGGAATAAAAATGGCGGTGGCCGAGTAGAGGGTAGTCTCTTAAACTCTCTCCCGCACCGGGGCGGCCAGGAGGCGGGGCCGGGCCGGCGCCACGTGGGCTGCCCTCCCGTTTGGGCCGCCCCACCTCCAGAGCTGAGGCGCCTGCGCAGCTGCTTCAGGCCCTGCTCGGCCTCACGGAGCACGCGCGCCTTGCAGTACTCTGATTGGCGGCTACGCCTCGCTGTCGAAGGTCACCGCCCAGCTCCGGCGCTCGTGCGTTTACCAGACAGTGGCGGAGGGCGGCGCTCGCTTGTTGTCCAGGCCGCCGTACACGGCGAGAACGCGCGGAGCGGCCTCGGCTGCGTCCGGGCAATCCAGTGCTTGGTTCCGCCGTACCCCTTTCCGGGACCTCGTTCGAGCATGTTCCCCAAGGCCCAGGTGAGACGGATTCTGCAGCGGGTGCCCGGGAAGCGGCGATTCGGCATCTACCGGTTCCTGCCCTTCTTTTTTGTCCTGGGAGGAACGATGGAGTGGATCATGATTAACATACGCGTGGGCCAGGAGACTTTCTGTAAGTAAGGGGGTAGCAGTCTCTTTCAGGAAGACACGAGGCGGCAGGGATCCGTTTTTCTGGGGAATATTCTCAGATTGCAGACCGCGCATTGCACTCAGAGCGCTGGGCAAGTGCAGTCCCATTCGCTTGGCAGTCAGGGCGGCCCGGCTCTCCTGTAGGCCAGGCACATTGCCGTCCAGCCTGGCGACCTTCCCTGCACTTAGTAAAGATCACGTGCCTCCAGTCCTGCCCTTCACCCCTGCCGGTGACATCGTTTGGGCCTAAGGAACAGACTTGCTCACGACAGTTGTATAAGGGGGTGGATCTGAAGGTTCAGGGAAACTCCTAACTGGCTAGTTCTCTTTGGACTCTTCTGTCCAAACTCTGGAGGAAGCTGTCCTGTCTGGCTTTGCTAACTACCATTGTCTTTACAGGGCAGTCATTGGCATCAGATCTTTGGTGTGGGTCCAGATGATCAGCACTGTAAAGACAGTGGTAATGCGCCGGGCGCAGTGGCTCATGCCTGTAATCCCAACACTTTTGAGAAGCCAAGGTGGGCGGATCATGAGGTCAAGAGTTTGAGACCAGCCTCACCAACATAGAGAAACCCTGTCTCTATTAAAAATACAAAAAATTAGCTGGGCGTGGTGGTGGGCACCTGTAATCCCAGCTACTTGGGAGGCTGAGGCAGGATCACTTGAACCCAGGAGGCAGATGTTGCAGTGAGCTGAGATTGCGTCATTGCACACCAGCCTAGATGAGAGTGAGACTCCATCTCAAAAAAAACACAAAAAACAAAAAACGGTGGTAATGCATTACTGACCATTAACTCTGGACAGGCCATTTCCTTTCAGGAGGACTTCCCCATCCCGTCGGCCCTTTCTGCTTTGCCCCTCTCCTGAAACAATATCACTTGTGAATTGCCAACCCACATTTTTTTTGAGACGGAGTTTCGCTCTTGTTACCCAGGCTGGAGTGCAATGGCGCGATCTCGGCTCACCACAACCTCCTCCTCCTGGGTTCAGGCAATTCTCCTGCCTCAGCCTCCCGAGTAGCTGGGATTACAGGCATGCGCCACCATGCCCAGCTAATTTTTTGTATTTTTAGCAGAGACGGGGTCTCACCATGTTGACCAGCATGGTCTGGATCTCTTGACCTTGTGATCCACCCGCCTCAGCCTCCCAAAGTGCTGGGATTACAGGCGTGAGCCACCGCGACCGGCCGCCAACCCACATCTTAAAGAAATGTTGCCGGGCGCGGTGTCTCAAGCCTGTAATCCCAGCACTTTGGGAGGCTGAGGCGGGTGGATCACAAGGTCGAGAGATCGAGACCAACCTGGTCAACATGGTGAAACCCCGTCTCTACTAAAAATACAAAAAATTAGCTGGGCATGGTGGTGCGTGCCTGTAATCCCAGCTACTCGGGAGGCTGAGGCAGGAGAATTGCCTGAACCCAGGAGGCGGAGGTTGCGGTGAGCCGAGATCGCGCCATTGCACTCCAGCCTGGGTAACAAGAGCGAAACTCCGTCTCAAAAAAAAAAAAAAAAGAATTCAGGAGGCTGAGACAGGAGAATTGCCTGAACCCGGGAGGCGGAGGTTGCGGTGAGCCGAGATCGCGCCATTGCACTCCAGCCTGGGTAACAAGAGCGAAACTCCGTCTCAAAAAAAAAAAAAAAAGAATTCAGGAGGCTGAGACAGGAGAATTGCCTGAACCCGGGAGGCGGAGGTTGCGGTGAGCCGAGATCGCGCCATTGCACTCCAGCCTGGGTAACAAGAGCGAAACTCCGTCTCAAAAAAAAAAAAAAAAAAAAAGGAAAAAAAAAAAAAGAGATGTGCTAAGACATGATTCTATCTTTCAAGACACCCACTTTTACCCTATTTAGGTCTAGAACTCCATTAATGTAGTCCTCATCTAACTCAAGTTTTGCTTTAAATTTATTTTGGCATTGAGTTAAACATTAATGCCGAGATTCAGAAATAAGTGGCAGACCTAGACTATTGATTAAATTACGCAGATTGTTTTTAATTTTAAATGTTTCTTAAAAATCTAAGCAATTTTTTGTTTGATACAGATGATGTCTACCGTAGAAAAGCCTCAGAAAGACAGTATCAGAGAAGGCTGGAAGATGAATGAGACTGAACTTCAGCAGTCAATAAAGTCAATGTGAATTTTTACTAGTGGTTTCAGTGCCTTTTCAGATTTCTTGTTCTGACACAGCTTGTCCTTTAGCAGCTGCACAATATTACAGTAACTGTCCTTGCAAAGAATTTTTATAATTCTGTCTCTGCTTGAGTACTTCCCAAGTCACTGCTGGACAGCACTTGTAGGAAAATTATTTCCTCCTAAAACACTTATTCAATGAATCAAGTCCATGAAATAGTTCTTAAACAATTCAAGGATCAATCAGGATGCTTTTCAGTGCAGCCCGAATTATTTTAGGCAACTAATAACCTTATTTACTGTTTTGCAGAATTCAAATTAAATTATGGACACATTCTCCAATGCAAGGTCATTTAAACCAAGATCATTATGCAGGTTACATTTCTGCCAGCTACTAGATTATAAACTTTTTGCTAGGGTGGTGGAAATTACTGACTATACATTTCTCATGCTAGTATTTTTTTTTTTGAGACGGAGTTTCGATCTTGTTACCCAGGCTGGAGTGCAATGGCGCGATCTCGGCTCACCGCAACCTCCGCCTCCTGGGTTCAGGCAATTCTCCTGCCTCAGCCTCCTGAGTAGCTGGGATTACAGGCACGAGCCACCATGCCCAGCTAATTTTTTGTATTTTTAGTAGAGACGGGGTTTCACCATGTTGACCAGGATGGTCTCGATCTCTCAACCTCGTGATCCACCCGCCTCGGCCTCTCAAAGTGCTGGGATTACAGGCTTGAGCCACCGCGCCCGGCGCTAATATTCTTTTGAACAGAAATAAGCCCCTCCCTTGCTTGGCTCCACTAAACTTCAAGGGCTGGACCTTCATGAGGATCATGGGCAACAGGTTTCACCCCACTCTGTGATGAAGATGCTTCCATTCAGCTGCTAGAAACAGTTGCTCCTTCTTTGAGAAAGTGAACCTATACAGTTTAAAGCAATCCCAGACTTGACCTAAATCAGAGGCTCAGTCTACTGAGTGATTTGGCAATTTGACCCAGTGTAAGTTTGGATCAGCCTGGTAGGAAAAGCAGATGGTGGCCGGGCATGGTAGCTCATGCCTGTAATCCCAGCACTTTGGGAGGCTGAGGTGGGTGAATCACAAGGTCAGGAGTTTGAAACCATCCTGGCCAACATGGTGAAACCCTGTCTCTACTAAAAATACAAAAATTAGGCTGGGCATGGTGGCACATACCTGTAGTCTCAATGACTCAGGAGGCTAAGGCAGGAGAATTGCTTGAACCTGGGAGGTGGAGGTTGCAGTGAGCTGAGATCATACAACTGCACTCCAACCTGGCGGAGGAGACTCTGTCTCAAAAAAATGAAAAAAGAAAAAGAAAAAGCAGACACCTTTCCATGCTTGGATAACCACATCCAACATTGTTTCAAGCAAGAAAATACGTACACACTAAAAACTAAGTTTCAGAATAGTTTCTATTGCAGGAGAATAAAGTTGATGCTTAAGGTCAAAGGATATCCTCAAGTTAATGATCTCTGCCACAAACATGTCTCCTCTAATTTTTTCTAGAGATTTTTAATTTTAGTCCACTTACATTAGAACCAATTCAGTAAAGAACCATTAACTACTCAGATCTCGTTAAAGCACTACCTACACTACAGTACAGCAAGCCCTTAGTCATGGCTGCAAGATAGCTTCAATGTGAAAGGCCGGTAATTACCTATCCACCACCAGGGAGGGGACAGTGGTTCATCGTATTCTCATGCCCAGTTGTGTCATCTAGGATTCCTGGTAAACCTGATGAACCATTTTTAGTGACTTGCCTGCTGTATAAAATATATCATTCTCTCGTAATAATTACATGGCCATATTCTCTGTTTGCCCTCACCCACCTTGCTTTAGGAGTTTAATAGTTGACACAGGTAGAGAATATGTCATACCTCTTACAAATAGTAATAGTAAACACTAATAAAACTACTGGCTAACTTCTGTTCCTGCTGTGGGTTCATTCCCTGGCCCATCCCTCTGCTTCCACCCCACCGAGAACCATTAGACTGAATTTCATGTTAGCTTTCCCTAGGGCTTTCCTCTCCATTTCTTTTTCTTTTCATTAGAATGTTAATTTATTGAAGGACAACAGACTTTGAAAATGACGATCAGGCATGGTGGCTCACACCTGTAAGCCAAGCACTTTGGGAGGCTCAGGTAGGAGGACTGCTTGAGGCACGGAGTTCAGGGCCACAGACTCCATCTCTATTAAAAGAAAAAAGAAAGACTGGACAGCTTCTGACTTTAGGCAGGTAGACTACCAAAGCAATGACTGTATTCGATGGAAGACAGTTTTTCAGAGCACATTAGTTTGGATGCTATGAGTGAGAACTCATTTGTTAACCAAGATGTAAGCTTTTTTTTTTTTTTTTTTTTTTAAGATAGGGTTTCACTGTCACCCAGGCTGGAGTTCAGTGGCCTGATTATAGTTCACTGCAGCCTTGAATTCTTGAGCTCAAGTGATCCTCCTTCCTAACCTTCTCCTGTAGCTGGGACTAGCCAGCTACCATGCCTGGCTAATTTTTAAAGTTTTTGTAGACACAGGGACTTGCTATGTTGACCAGGCTGGTCTCAAAATCTTGGGCACAGGTAGTCCTCCCACCTTGGCCTACCAAAGTGTTGGGATTACAGGCGTAAGCCACTGTGCCCAGCTAAGGTAAAGAATTTTCCCTTTAGGCCGGGCGCGGTGGCTCAAGCCTGTAATCCCAGCACTTTGGGAGGCTGAGGCGGGTGGATCACGAGGTCGAGAGATCGAGACCATCCTGGTCAACATGGTGAAACTCCGTCCCTACTAAAAATACAAAACATTAGCTGGGCATGGTGGCGCGTGCCTGTAATCCCAGCTACTCAGGAGGCTGAGGCAGGAGAATTGCCTGAACCCAGGAGGCGGAGGTTGCAGTGAGCCGAAATCGCGCCATTGCACTCCAGCCTGGGTAACAAGAGCGAAACTCCGTCTCAAAAAAAAAAAAAAAAAGAATTTTCCCTTGGCCGGGCGCGGTGGCTCAAGCCTGTAATCCTAGCACTTTGGGAGGCTGAGGCGGGTGGATCACGAGGTCAAGAGATCGAGACCATCCTGGTCAACATAGTGAAACCCCGTCTCTACTAAAAATACAAAAAATTAGCTGGGCATGGTGGCGCGTGCCTGTAATCCTAGCTACTCAGGAGGCCGAGACAGGAGAATTGCCTGAGCCCAGGAGGCGGAGGTTGCGGTGAGCCGAGATCGCGCCATTGCACTCCAGCCTGGGTAACAAGAGCGAAACTCCGTCTCAAAAAAAAAAAAAAAAAAAAAAAAAATTTTCCCTCAAAAATATTTTTAACTCTCCTACTAGGAATATGACTCTATCCTACTTATGGGAACTTAAAGCCAGGAGTGGTGGCTCATGTCTATAATCCCAGCACTTTGGGAGGATGAGGTGGGAGGATTGCTTGAGCCCAGGAGTTCAAGACCAGCCTGGGAAACATGGCGAAACCCAGTATGTACAAAAAGTACAAAAAATTAGCCAGGCATGGTGGTGTGCACCTGTAGTCACAGCTATAACCCTGTCTACAAAAAGTACAAAAAATTAGCCAGGCATGGTGGTGTGCACCTGTAGTCACAGCTATAACCCTGTCTCCAAAAAACAAAACAAAAAACAAAAAACTGCAGTGCCACCAACTATAAACTACAGAAAATAAAATTTTAATAAATTTCAAAAACTACAGCACTTTTTTCAGAATGCTGAAAACCTAATTAGCATTTATTGCTACAACTCGAACTCCACGGTGTTGGGGAAAGAACATGGGATTTTGAGTGTTACTTTATCATCTGAATTAATAAAGTACCTATAAATGGTACAAGGGTATTACAGCAAAAAACAAAAACCACCTAATAAATTAGTTATTTTTGTTTATCTAGCAGTTCTATTTTGGAAGTCTTAACCTAAATCCTTGATATGATACTTAATCTCCCTTTCTTGCATGTGTTCAAATTTTTCACACTGAATTAACTCTTTAAAAAGATACACACTCTTGGGCCTGGTGCAGTGGCTCACACCTATAATCCCAGCACTTTGGGAGGTCAAAGTGGGCGGATCACGAGGTGGAGAAATCAAGACCATCCTGGCCAACATGGTGAAACCATCTCTACTAAAACAAAAATTAGCTGGGCGTGGTGGCACGTGCCTGTAGTCCCAGCTACTCAGGAACCTGAGGCAGGATAATCCTTTGAACCCAGGAGGCAGAGGTTGCAGAGAACTGAGCTCGCACCACTGCACGCCAGCCTGGAGACAGTGAGACTCGTCTCAAATAAATAAATAAATAAATAAAAGCTCTTGGACCTTGTGTTTTCCAAAGTAACTTATCTCCCTAGTAAAGCATATCAGTGCTTTATCTTCACGCATGTATTAAATCTGGAGTTTGTCTCATTTATGTGCAATATGCAAGATAGAAATACCATGAAATAGCTAAAACAGGAAAAAAGGACAGTCCATTAATTTGTTTAATTCTGAACTTTCATTCAGCTGATCTAGCATACTTCCAGGCTAAAAAGGAACAGAGTAGGCCAGGTGTGGTGGCTCACACCTATAATCCTAGCACTTTAGATTGAGGCAGCGGATCATTCGAGGCCAGGAGTTCTAAACCAGCCTGGTCAACATAGAGAAGCCCTGTCTCTACTAAAATACAAAAATTAGTCAGGTATGATGGCACATGGCTGTAGTCCCAGCTACTCAGGTGGCTGTGGAATGAGAATTGCTTGAACCCAGGAGGTGGAGGCTGCAGTGAGCCGAGATCGCACCACTACATTCCAGCCTGCGCGACAGAGTGACGTTCTGCCTAAAAGGAAGAAGAAGAAGAAAAAAGGAACAGAGTAATAGCAGTATTTGCTCAGTGTTCAGATGGGATGTCTAGCTATACAGCAACTGATTATTCAAAATATGCTCAGGGGCACAGACGCCAGTTTTACTATCCTAAATTCAGGAGAACAGAACCACAGGGATTTGCAAAGTGATATTAGAGGAAAACAGTTGGTTGATTTTA